AATTAAGTTGAATGCTTAAATGAAGTACTTTTGTAACTTGAATATACTTTTGGTAAAAACAATAGGATATGCCTAACATATGTGTTCCGACGTACGGATAAAGGTGTGTCTTTAAATATATAAATTAATAGTATAATAAATATATATTTTTATATTTAAGATATAGATTGAGGGTGTTTTTAAGGGTATAAATTTAATGTATAATAAATATATTTTTTATAACTAATTTATATAAATAAATATAAAAATTGATCATAATATAATATTATTATCATATAAATAATTTTAATTGATCAATTAATTAAATCAAAATTAATATTTATATTTTGCATACAAATTAATTACAAATTAAAAAAAAAAACTATTTTCAATAATTTTAACTAATTCTCCTATATAACATACGAATTACAATAAAAAAAAATCTAAATGTAAATTTTGTAAAATGTTTTCATTTGTTAAAAAAATTCATTTTCCATTGATATATATACAATATATTGTGAAACATAATGTGTATAATTTGAAGATGAATGATCGAATTGAAAATACCCTATAATTTATGACTAGAAATTTACTTTTCTCTCTATCTTTCCTGACAATGTGAACCTCGAAAATTTATAGGAGAAGGATGGATTGGATGGCCTCCCCAATGTTTTTTTTAATATTCTCTTCACTAAATCTCAACTATGTTAATCAAAAGAAAGGGTTCAAGAATTGGTCCTGTAATTTTTATTAAAAGCACCAATCTAAGTTAGGGTTTCATTTTTAAAATATCATTGAAAGAAGAATTATTATTAAAATATACTCAAACTAATTTGAAAAGACTTTTAATGCTCAAACAAACAAATAATTTTTTTTTATGGGAAACAAACAAATAATTATACATTGTTCAGTTCAATTATTATTATTTGATTAAAAACTTTCGTCCAAAAAACCAATTTTAAAACTACATGCCTCAAAATTTATTATTAGCTTAACAACTCTTTAAATTAAATTTTATGAGTTTGTAAAAATTTAAATTTAAATTATTGATAGTGATTAATTTTTATATTTATATACTATTTATATTCATACCCTTCTTCTCATGTAGAATTAAGGCGATACAAATTTAAATTCAAGAAAAATGTTTATCAATCATAATTGCAAAAATTTACATTAAAAAATATTTTAAAACTATTTTATTTTAATAAACTTCTATTAAAAAACTAAAACATCATAACTTTTAAACCAAGAAGAAAATAGTTTTAGTTTTTTTATAATATTTTATTAAAACAATATAATTTTAAATGTTTTTATACATAAATTTTTACAAATTTAATTGATAAATACTAATCTTTTTAATATTTAATTAGTTTACATACAAATCTAAATTAAAATAGAGTCGAATCAACCAATCAAAATTAAATCAGTTTAATTTATTATACATTGATCGGTTTTAATTGGTATAGTTAAAAAAGTCATCTTTTTTTGCTATTGATACTTGCACAATTTAATCCATTTATGGAATATAGCCCTTAATATAAATGAATATATTATATCTATTTAATAATTTAAATTATGTAATTTAAATTATATAGTAATTTTTATTGTATTTACACTCCCAAAAAATTGTTTGGATGAAACAAAAAGATCTAATTCCCCCTTTCAGCACAAATATCGCATTCCATTAACAATTAAAAACTTACTGCCACAAAATATCTCAATCATAATATTAAAAAATTTACTTTTATCTCTAATAGTTTAAATTATATAATTATACCAATCAACATGGATAATGATATAGATATAATTTTTTTATATAATCTTTTTATATAGTTTCATATATTATTAAGGCTAAATCCCCCAAAATTTACCCCAAGATAAAAGGATAGAGGCAAATTTACCTTTTAAAAAAATAAGAACAAATTGCTTTTTTAAATTATTAATTAAAATAAATCTCTTATCATTTAATGTGTGATATCATTACATGTTACTTTTCGTTTGAAAACATGCTTAAACAACAAACGAATTTCTTATGTGTGATGATGTTATATATTAAATAATGAATAATTTACTTTGATTGATAATTTGAAAGCACAATTTATCTATATTTATTTAGAGATAAATTTATTTCTACTCTTTTATTTGAGAGGTGAATCATAAGATTTTATCTATAATTAAATTAAATATCATATAAAATTATGAAAATTTATTAAATAAAAAAATTATTAAATTACACTTGGACCTTCATGCCAATGACGTCAAATCACATATCCCTTTCTCTGAATAATGATTCGAATCCGATTCTTTACAAATTTATTCAAAAACAAATTATTAAATTACATGTAAAATTCATTTTTTTTATCCGGAACATACAACACTTTTTTAAAAATTTTATTAGTATGTTAATTAAGGGTAGGGTAAGGAGAAAAGGAGGGATTTAGATTCGGGTGCATCGGAAACCGTGTCGGCCGGGTCTGAAGGGTTCATGTTCACGTCATCGGGACTGGAGCCAGGAGCCGTGGGGCCCAGCAGGCCCAAACAAGGAACAACATCAAGTTTTAATCAATTATTATCTGGGTCCAGACCTGTATGTAAGACAAAGACTTGACACGTGCGAACAGGTTTTCATTTTTTGTTTTATTAGTACATTTTTGTTGTATTTCGAATAATTATTTATAAAAAATTTATTATTTTATAAATTAAATTATAAAATATAATTTATTAAATAAAAAAGCAACTTTTAATATTAATAAATCATTTTTATTTAATAATAAAGGTTGTATGGTTTATTAAAATTTAAATTATATTTTTTTAATTCTTAAAATTGTTTTTTATTAACAACAAATTTGTAGTATAAGGATTATCTCTTAATTTATAAAATCAATTTAATATGTCAATAAATTATATTATTTTTCATCTGTTTAATAACGAATTATGAAATAAAAATGATTTTTATCATTCACACTATGTATATTTTGATTACACAAAATTAACTATTTGGTGATTTTAATTTTAAAGTTAACATGAATATAAGAAACAGTTATTTTTTTAATAAATTACAAAATATGAATTTTTTTACTGTTAATTAGTTATACACAATTTTAACAAGTTACACTTGTTACTAATGATTAATGTTTTATTTCGTATATATGAATGAATAATTTTTAAATGCTTATAAAATTAGTCATATTAAATATTTAAATACCCACACAATAAAAAAAAAAAAAAGGCCTTGACATTAAATTATGAATTTGATCATTTATAATTTATATTACATTGACCTATAACACACTAATTAAATTTAACAATTAATATTTTGTAAAAATATTTACAAAATTGCAATTTGTTTTATAAATTATACTGATTAAACTGGAAATCAATTTTTCCAAAAATAAAAATACACAGTAAAACGGAAGA